TGCCTATTATAGATATAAAACAATGGTTCAATATGTTAACAAAATGTTGTTTACTTGTTTTTTCTCAGCAATGTTACCTACTCTCTATAAACCAGAAAGGCATCAAAATTGTAAATAGCTGATAATAAAGCTGAATGAAGGTTGACCTATGTGGCCGTGCATCAAATTTTAGAAATACTACGGAGTATGTAGTACCACGCACATTGCGAAAATACAAGGTTAGGTGGGTCAAATTATTGTGAGCCTTCAAGCCACTCACCTGGTGAAGATAGTTTTGTGCAATATCTATTTGTTTTGTTTATTTTCCAAAATTTCCAAAGTTTTCATAAAAAGGCCAATTTCTTATTATGTAGATTGTTTTTTCAATTAAATTTCATGCTCTATCATTTCTTTTCTCTTATTTTCTACTTCATTTGAGAATTACTAATTTTATAACACATGTGAGTTTGACATATTTTTAAATCACAAAGATTAATGCGCATAATTTATATAGTATATCACAAGAGAGTTTGACACACTAAATTCAGAATTTTACATTATATAAATTCACAAATTTATATATTAAATTTTTTGTATAGCGGACTTCATCTCTTCATCCAAACAAAACTATATGCTAAATAAATATCCAGATTAATTAAATATCAACTTAAAGTAAGCTCGATTGGCCTGGCCATACATAGTCCAATGTCCAAACTAGGTCTACCAATGGGTTGTGTCTGGATTCAGACATGACCCCGCCTTTATGATACACATGAATTCACATTTAATTCCGTTAACCTAGACACATACCCATGTCCGTTATTTATTTTGATAAATGGACCGGGTGCCACAAATGTCATCTTGACCTATTGATGTCATCTTGACCCGTTCACAAAACTCTACTCCCTCCGTCCCATTTATATTGTCCCGGAAGAGGGTGACACAGTTATTAAGAAAAGTGGGTTTGTGTGGTTGATATTAATTGATAAAGTAAGAATAAAGTAAGATTGATTTAGAGCCACACAAACTTTGCCAAATATGGTATGAGACAATATAAGTGAGACTTCCCGAAAAGGTAAAACGAGACAAAATAAATGGGACAGAGGGAGTATTCAATAAAAGTTTTGTATGAGGGTGTTTGGTAAATGGCGTTTCAGCCGAAAAATGACGGTTTGACCACTTTCAGCGTTTTCAATAAGTGAAAAAGTTGTTTGATAAATAGCGGTTCAGCACTAGCATTTTTGGACGAAAACGCTGAAATGAAAACGCTGATAATAGGAGAGTTTTGGGTTGGCATTTAGAAAAACAACGTTTTCTACTAATTTTATGGCCAAACAACTAAATTATCAAACATCTTCTGACAATCCGCCAATTTATTCCGTTAGTCAAACCCGCTGACTGAATCCGCTATTGACAACCCGCTAACATAATCCACTATCCGCTAATCGCTAACTGCTGGATGTCAAACACGCCCTATATATAAAACCCCATACACGCAGTAAACATATATATATCACGAACACATACATATACCAATGAATGTCATATGTGGCTATGGTACACTATTTTACAAACCCTCCATATTAGACTAGTGTAGTATAGTAGTGTATTATAATTTATAAGATACTCTGTTCAGTTCATAAATCGGTGTTTGGATCTGATTCTCAAAACTGATTCTACTCCTTCAAGGAGCAGAAGCAGAAGCAGAAACTGGAGTGTTTAGGTGAAATTCTAGAAGCACTTTTGGTGCTCTAATTTAGTCCCAGAAACAGTTTTTTTAGAAGTTAGAGGGTACCAGTTTCGGAAAACTGATTCTGATTCTGCTTCTGCTTTAAAAAAGAAGCAGAAGCAGAATCAGTTCAAAACATCCCTTAGTATGAAATAGTCATATGAGTAGTTTCATGTACTTTGACTTTGATTTTGTCTAACACAAGTTTCCCGGTCTATTCAACTCGACTAGAATATATATTCAAGTGTGGTAGAATAGTGATCTGAAAGAACCTAACTTGATCTATTGATATGTAGTGATCTGTGTGTAATTTCCATTTAAACTTGTACGTTTTAATTAGTTTTGTGATTCACTGGCTTTGAAATTACACACTTTTGGTGTAATGCTTTGTTTTATTTAAATTGATGTAAAGTGTTTAGATTAGGATTTTCTGAGCATAGGACAGGTTAAAAGCACTCAAAGGATCAAGAAATGGATCCCAAAGACCAAAAGGTGTGCAAGGAAACAAGATCAGAAATTGATTTGGGAAAGAGTTCATATACCCGGTCGGGTCTTTGCTATACCCGGTCGGGTATTGACCCGATTTCGTTGTCCAAATCAAATCCCGGAAAACAAAGGATCGTGGGAACAAAATATCTAAAAAATCCGATCTCATACCCGATCGGGTATACCGACACACCCGGTCGGGTATGAGGTGACGTTTTCTCACTTCTCGGAACCAACTGAGTACCCGATCGGGTACCCCAAACACCCGGTCGAGTACATGATCCTGTCACCTTCATTTCCCTATAAATACACCCTTCTTCCTTCACAATAAAGCATCTCTTCTTCCATATATTTAAGCTCAGTTTAGAATAGTTATTTCTTATATTTTTATAGCATGTTTAGTTTCCAAATGAGGAGCTAAACTTCCATTTCTTGGTTTTGCTCTTGAAGCTTGTTGATTATTAAAGTTGTGAGTTATTTTCTTACTTTCTCCTCTTGATTATTAATTCTTCCCTTAATCTCATTCTATATTAATGTTGGAGGGTTGCTAAGTGACGATTAGTTAACGTTCCGACATTGATTATTACTAGAAACGATCAACGAACCGATGGTTAATCGTTGATGGTTTCACAAGTAAGTAACTTCGGTTTATTAATGCACGGTCGTGGTTAATAAACTTAAGAGGGATTAATTTTGTTGGTTAAACCGAAACCGTTGTGTTGAGGTTATCAATCTCAATTGATTTCATCAAGGAGTTAAAGAGATTAAATGCTACTATTATATCGGTATACGACGTTGTTCTATATTTGAATAATAGTAAGGGTTATTAATGAACGGTCGTTGTTAATAACTACCCTCGATGAATTGGAGATACTCCTCGATTGAGTATTCGAGAGGGGATAAGTTATAGATATAACAATAATCGACTGAAATATATCAACAAGTGGAAAGTAGCAAGACCAAGTCCCTTTTATTCTTGAATTTAATCCCATATAACTCGTTCATCTTCGTGTTCAATTTAATTTAATCACTCAACAATCAAAACCCCCCCTTTATTTACTAGTTTTATAAAAAGAGAATTATTCCTTTCCCTGTGGATACGAACTCTACTTCACCTATACTACGTATAAGTGTTAGTATCGATTTATTTTGAGTGCACACACGACAAAGTGCACGTCATGTAGTCTACGTGGTCTCTCGTGTACTTTCCGAAGAGTATAGTATGAAAAAGAGCAAAAATAGTAGGGGTTGTTCTGTACGGTATACCGAATATTTTAGCTCATACCTTTACCATACCGTAAATTTTCGGTATGCAAAAATATATACCGTTACCATACCGGAATTTCGGTATACCTTGTTTCGGTATACCGAAATTTCGGTACGGTAAGGTACGATATCGGTAAATTATCATGATTTAACATAACAAATTATTATATGTCAAATAAAATATAGAAAATATGTGTTAATAATAATATACTAAAATCATTAATGAAATTAATTGTAAATTACCAATGATAACATATTGGTGTTCTATTCAATTTTGAACAAAAAATATTATAAATATATTTAGATATTTCAATACATAATATATGAAGATAACATCACATTCTACTAAAATAATTTAAACAACATAAATATAATTAAAAAAATACCGCTTGCCAACAAAAAGTATAAACAATTCAAAAAACATGGATATAAATTCATTTATCCTTGAATTAATGTTGTGTTTCTAGTTATTTTTATAGTTTTAAAGAAATTATTGGCTTGAAATTACGGTATGATGGTATACCGGTATACCGTTTATTTTCAAAATATATACCGATACCATACCGAAGTAATTCGGTACGGTATCATACCGTACCGAAAGTGTCGATATACCAACCATTTCGGTAAATTCGGTATTTTTCGATATGGTAAGTCCGGTATACCGAAATTTCGGTATTTTTCCTCACCCCTAAACAGAAGTAGTTTTTTTAAATTTTGAAATGTTAGGATTAGACAAAAGTATGATACTCCTTTTTTTTCCCTTTCAATTATGACTTACGGAGTATTCGTTAGAGCTTGTACAGTATATATGAGAAAATTGAAGAGCATCGATTCTCTCTTTTTGAGAAAAAGTGAAGTGAATATGTGTAAGTACAGTATATGAGAAAATTGAAGAGTATCAATTCTCCTTCTTTTTGTCTTAGTTTTTGTCCAAAAGGTTAAATCCCCAATTTCAAGAGCCCCACACCCCGACCCGACAAAGCACATGAGATGTTGTAAATCACGGTAACTCAATCAATCCTAATCGTGGTAGACCTTTTACCCGTGCGCACCAAGGCCAGCCCAGCACATAGGAGTTGTGACCTCCACACGGTTGTTACGGGTTTCGATCCTTGATCATTTATTCAAGAGTTTTTTTCCTAATTAATGCTAATTAATTAATTAATTACAGAAATAATGCTGGAAAAAAAGTATTTACCAAAATACTGCTGGCCCTTAACCACGGTCAGGGGTAAGTCGCCCAACGGTTGGGCGACTTATAAGTCGCCAAACCGTTGGGCGACTTACCCCTGAAATATGGCTGAAGGCGAGCAGCTACTGCCAGCCACGCACGATCGTGCGTACCCTGGGACGCACGATCGTGCCTAGGTCCAAAAACAGTATTTGAGCAGATTTTTCGCGCCAATTCAACCCGGACTCGTCTGTTTGCTATAAATAAGGTCTCTCTTCTGTTGTTTAAGTGCTACGAGCCAGATACAACACATTATAAAACATATTATTAAACATACAACACACGTATTCTCAATCACATACATAACACCCCCTCTCATCAACATAAAAAACACCTTCAAAATAACCGGTATAACAAAGTACAATCATTCAATATTCATAACAAGTAATCATCTAATATTCAGACTCGAACACATCAAGACAACATACAAGACTTTACAAGATAAAATACGTCAAATGTTGTAAATTGTTCCTACAACATCTACTGCATAAGAAAAACTACAATACAAAAGACAGACTACAAGTTCCCATCGTCAGCTTCGTCATGGAGATGTTGTTGCTCATGTCTACGCCTACGGCGTTGTCGTGGTTGAAGAACCACTCTCTCATGTTGCGTCTGGGATGATGAAGCCGCGGCTGCACTAGACGTGGATGCCATCTCCTGAGATGGGGGCATGTGTATAAGATGTCCGTAGTCTACTCGGCCCAACACATCTGAGCACAACGAGGCAATGCCTGTCAGAGCCTGTCCATACATGTCCACATCAGGAATATCAGTCACAGTGGCAGTAGCCCGCTGATGTATGCGCTGCAAAGCTCGTGTCTGAAATATGAAACACAATTACAATTACATTCAAATACATACAAGTATTACATAAATAAAATGACTTACTTTACTAATTACTAATATACTCACCGTAAGATGCAAAGCCAAGGAGCTAGGCTGATAATGATGAGTAGGGAGTCTGAACGAAGGAGACACAAATAACCGAGTGATGCTGTAGTACCATCCCATGTAGTCTCCTGAAACAGATGGCACATATGTGGGTGTCCCAACCACAGCTAGCTCAGCTCTCCTTTCCCACATAGTCACGTATCGGACATGTCTGAGTGCCCAATCCTCTGTATGCTTCCCACGCCTATCCAGCTTATGCAGCTGTACATAAGTGTCGATAGGACGTGGAACGACCTGCTCAAACCCAAACTGTCGCATGACTCTATCAGGCAAATGCAGCTCAACAATGTCAAAACATATCAACGGGACACGTGCTCGCCAGATGTGAGTATGCTCTCGTCCAGCTGGGGGCAACTCTGCTAACATATCAGGTCTAAACGGCATCCATGTGACCTGTTTCATAACATACAAAATTAGTATTTATTCTACACCTATTCTAGTTAATGTTATACTACATACACCATACCTGGTCCTCAGACATCCGATCCAATGCATCCCTGTAGACACCGAGCCCAGTAGCGGATGACATGCGAGATAGACCAGCATATAGCCACCTAACCATTCATGTAACAATATCAATAATATGGATATTATTAATTTATTAACATTCAACAAATACTCACATAAATACAAACGATTGAAAACATACCGACGGCCTAGAGGGTCCTCGCCCCGTACATGATGTGGTCCTAGCAGACGTGGAGGCTCATCAGGCAGTGGCTGTCCATCAATGCCATGATATCCGACTATAATGGGACGGCCAATGTGGATATACTCCCATGACCAAATCTGGAGGAGTAGCAAAAATCCCCCCAGCTCTGTGCTCCCTCTCTGATGCATCCGCGACACAGCTGCCTGTATAGATAAGCCAGGGTGGCACTACCCCAGCTGAACTGTGCTGCTACATCAAACCTCTCCAGCAAAGGCAAGTGTAGCACCTGAACCTCATTTCCGCTCTTGTCAGCGAAAATGGAGGCTCCCATCATCATCATCAATATATACGCCCGAGCATGCTGCTGGATGATAACCTCATCAGCGTCGGGAGGAAGGACCTGAAAGTGCTCCCTCAACCACGGCATCCTAAGAGATGACCCCTGAAGGTCAGTCCTAAGAACGGGGCGGATACCTAACAACCGCTCACACTCATCAACCCACTGTCGACAAGCAGTGCCTGTAACAGCTCTCCCATGAACCTCTAACCCGGTGAGTACAGCCACATCTCCCAATGTCACAGTCACCTCACCAACAGGGAGGTGAAATGAGTGGGTCTCCTGCCTCCAACGCTCAAGTAGAGCAGTGAGAAGGGATCTATCAAGAGGCACAGTAGCCACTAATCTGTGCAGTGTAAAAAAACCAGCAGCACGAACATAGGCTAGGACTCTGGGGTCGACATGTAAATGGGACAAACCCCGCAGGTGCTCGCGGCACCTATCAACCTGGACATCCATGCCAAGCCAAACATCCTCACTCCTGTGCGATGCCTGCAATGTCAGGACAGAACGATCACTCGGCCCAGGATCCGCTATCACCTCCATGCCTACAAACAAATAAAATTTGTATTAGTTCTAATTGTATAATCTATTACTTTTTTTTAACATTCCTTTTTGAAATTATTAAGTTTCCTTGCAAGGAAAACATGATTTATGATTGACTCTAAATAGAACCTTACCCGGCGGACCCCCCCTCTTGTCTAGACGATCTTTTCGCACATGTCGCTCTATTATGGCCGGTTTGGTGGCATTTTCCACATCTAACCGTTCCTCGTGGACCTTCATCCATCTCATTCTTAATACGGGTCGACTTTGGTCTTCCCTTTGCCCGAAGCATGGATGGATCGTGCACGATTTCGGGTCCATTGTAATTTGGTCAATAATCACGATCAGGAATCGGTTTGAACACCCTATGATATGTGGCGGCGTATTGGTCAGATGAGAAGAACTTATCCATGAGAGCATGGAATCTTGTATGTCTGCATCTTTTTACAAGTGCAAGTTTTCCGTTGTAGGTGGACAGTTTGTTTTCTCCCACCCTTTCCCAACGTTCGGCCACCACAACCGGTTTCCACCTGAAATATACCTCTCCCTAAATCAAATGGAGTGACAATGTGATGCTTTGCCTTCTCTCTATTTTTTTCAATTAAATCTGTGATGTGTGGGGAGTACTCGTGGCCTTGTGTGAGCCTCAATTTACTGGTTTCACGCCTATGCACAAAGTAGGCATTAACCCGGTAAAAAGACACCTGGACCAAGGCGGTAATGGGCAAATATCTAGCATTTTTCATGACGCTATTGAAAACCTCAGCTAGATTTGAAGTGATGGTACCGTATCTGTACCCGCCATCGTGGTGCAGCGACCACATTTCTGGAGGAATGTTGGCCAAAAATTGGCGTGCATCCCTACTCATTTCACCTATCTTCTTGAGCCCACCATCAAATTTTTTTTCTGATGTTGCCGTGCGGTCCACACAAAAAGATTTTTTAAATGAATGTCTTTGAAATGTGTGTGCACATTTGATGCAAGATGGCGGATGCAAAGCCTATGATGCGCATAAGGCTCCTCCCATGTACTGCCCACCTCATTCATTGCCCTGACAATACCTCCATGTCTATCTGAAATGACACACAACTCCCTGTCAGTCACAAACTGCCTAATACATGCCATAAACCATGGCCAACTATCTCCATTCTCGGATTCAACAACTGCAAAGGCGACTGGGAAAATTTGGTTGTTCGCATCACAACCCATGGCCACGAGCAATGTACCCTTGTACTTTCCATACATGTGTGTGCCGTCAATAGTAAGTACGGGTCGACAATGCTTAAAACCAGATATTGAGGCCTTGAATGCCCAAAAAACTCTTTGAAACATCATATAACCTGTGGAACCATTGGGGGGTGGGTACCACTGAACAACAGTTCCTGGATTAGAATGTTGCAGCGCTGTCATGAAACGGGGCAATTCGAAATATGACTTTTCCCAACCGCCAAATATTTGTGCTATGGCCTTTTGCTTCCCCATCCATGTTCTCCGGTAAGAAACCGTATACCCATATTTTTCCTTCAACATCTCGATGATAGTATGCACTTTAAGAGAAGGATCAGTGCGAATAATGTCAACCACATCTTTACAGATGAATTCTGATGTCAATGCCACGTGATCTGTAGTGTCGATGTTTCCTACACATGAAGCAGAATGAGGTCCAGTATAACGCACAATTGTGAAGGTGTCAAGGTTGCCTTTGTTCTTTGTGGCGCGTATTCTCCAGGGGCAATGACATTCTTTCTTCCTTTTGCATTGTGCCACCCATTTGTGTTTATCAGACTCTATCACCCGATAGAATTGGTTCCGTTTGATAGAATACAAGCTCACCATATTGATGACTTGTTCGTTGTTGTCAAACTGTTGACCGACCTCAAACTCACCATCGGGGGTAAACCTTTTCTCACCTGATCCACTCATCCACGCATCAGTAAAGCCTTCAGGGAGATCATACATTCTAGTGAGGTGGCTAGACGGGGCAGTTGATGTCACAGTATCACCATCATCTTCATCAGATTCTGTCATGTCGTCACCATTGATGTTCTCGTCTGCATCATCATCACTTCCCTGCCCATCCACAAATGATGCACCGTTGTGCAAATACCTGCCATCCTCCTGTATAACCATGTCTAGTACAGGAACCTTTGACAACTTCCCTGCATTCACCCCTGCAATGACATCATTCCTAGATACAACGGCATTTGATGTCGATTGAGTAGCATTAACGTCAAAGCATTCCTCAATGTATACCTCCAGCGACGACATATCCTCCATCTGAATTATGCCCCACATATTTGTTATAGCTAGCTCATCAATGAGGGGCATAAGCATGTACTTTCCCCCGTTCATGGGAAATTTCATTTTCAACCGCAAAGAACGACTAGGATGAATGATTGTTGCTGCATGTATTTTTTGAAGGATCTCGAGCATGCAAGCGCCACGAGAAACCATGACAAAGCTGGTTCTACCACCTTCATGGCATATTTGCCCAGCATCCTCATAATAGTTCCCTCCCCAATGACACACGATTGGGAAGCTTGAGAAATCCATATTCTAATAACAATTCATTGTCCAAAATTCATGAGTACGCATCAATATACACACTTTACACACATTCAAATTTCCTAAATAAAAAAGCTACCAAAATTGTAATATATTCAAAAGTCGAAAATGACCAACAATTCACATCTCAATATGAAACTACCCAAATTTTGATAACTACATTCAAGTCTACATTTCAATATCCAAATTTAGCTACAATCAAGTCTATCCAAATGCCCAAATGTCAAAATACACATTAAAATTTACAATCAATTTAAAATCAAATTTCAACATTTCATACATATCCACATTTCACAATCAATTCATAATCCAAAAATTCGAAAATTTCAACATTCAAAACCCTAGGTTCAAAATGAGATGAAATGGAGTTTGATTTACCTAGAATCAAGAAGAAAGAGTGTTGGAGCTGGAGATGGAGGTTTGCCGGAATGGGGTCGCCGGAGATGAAGGTTCGCCGGAGTTGGAGATGGCTCTCGTCCTTCGTCGGTCGTCACTCGTCGTTTGTCGCTGCAGTTTAGCTGAGGGGTTTGTTTAGCAGCGATCTGTTTCTGTGGTTGTGTGCGACAAATTTACTTAAGGGTAAGTCGCCCAACGGTTGGGCGACTTATAAGTCGCCAAACCGTTTGGCGACTTATAAGTCGCCCAACCATTGGGCGACTTACCCCGACCATGGTTAATCCAGCAGTATTTTGGTAAATACTTTTAACCCAGCCCTAATTTCGTAATTAATTAATTAATTAACATTAATTACGAAAAAAACTCTTTATTCAACTTTCCCACCGCTCTACCAGTTGAGCTACACGTGCGGGTAAAGAGTATCAATTCTCTCTTTATGAGAAAAAGTGAATTGAATATGTGTAAGTTTTCCCTCTTGGACAGACAAGAGAATTCAGAAATCCTACATTTCCTTACTTCCAAGTGCTAACCATCCAATTTCTTCTTAGCTTCCCATTTGGAAGGACTAGGCCTTTTCCACCACCTTCTCTTTTCCTGTTTTTCTTTAAATAACTTTTAAGCAATTAAAGAAAACATTTAACACATCACAAAACGATAGGCAAGTGATCTGGCTTCAACAAAACTGACCCCTCCACCACCCTCCCAACCACCACCACTACTTCATTGTCCTCCTCTTTTCACTCTCTCTCCCTTACACCTCTTTTGCCAAATCTTTCAACTCTTCAATCACTCCCTCAAATTCTCTCATACCACTTTGATTGACCTCTTCAAAAGGATTGATCATATACCAAAATCCTCTTCTTCTTCTTGTTCTTGAATTCTCCACTTTCTTGAGTTCTTTTTAGGATTCAAGAAATGGGTATTGAAAAAAATGTCTCTTTCTTGATGACTTCTATGGTGGTGATGATGATGGTCATGGTATTGGAGGAATTGGATTGGAAGCCATTAATGGTAGGGGCAACAAATACAACTTGGGTTGGTTCAAAGTACCAAGTTGAATGCATCATGTGTGCAGCTTGTGACAACCCATGTGACACACCATCGCCCCCACCCCCATCACCACCGCCTCCGCCGCCATATTTGCCGCCTGCCACTGCCAATTGCCCACCTCCGCCGCCACCTCCTCGCTCACCAGAACCCTACTACTACTCTTCACCACCCCCACCCCGCCAAGAACCAACATCACTACCACCACCGCCGCCATCTTGCTACAACTACCCTTCAGCTGGGTGTGTGATCGGAGGGTATATTCCCCCGCCGTACAACCCTTTCCCATCAGGGGGAACGCCGCCGCCGCCAAACCCCATTATGCCTTACTTTCCGTTCTACTTCCACATCCCTCCACCGCCGCCCTCCTCCCAATCTTCCCAACTACTCAATCCTTCTCTACCAAACTTGATTATTATTACTATCCTTTCTCTTTTCCTCTACTGTATTATGTGATTTATAATTATAATTACCCTTTTTCTCTTCTTTTGATTTTACCTCACTAAGAAAAATAAAGATCAAGAAAGTCAAAATAAACGGCCAGAATTACAGATCTGAGAAGCTGGGGGTGTTTTGGAGGAATTAATGGAAATATTAAGATTCAGTTCTGGACAAGGAGACAGAAGCATGCAGGCAAGATGAGGTTTCTGGCAGATTTTTGGATCAAGTGTATCTGATGTTTGGAAAAGTAGCTAGAATTAATTGCAGTCTTCTTTAATGTGTCTCCTCATCTAGCTGGAGTAATATGTAAATCCCGAACAATTACTCTCCTCTTTAATTCTTTTTTGACATTAAATTAGTGTATTCTAGATTCAATTTTGTTCACTTACTACATATATTGTCTCCATATTAAATATTGTTGTAACTTCTTTTTATGAATTTATTACTCAGTATTATAATGGTAATTAAAACCTTAAGGCCTTAAAACAAGTGATTTCCGTATGAAAATAACATAAAGGTATTCAACAAGTGATTTCCGTATGAAATAACATAATTACCCTCAGGGCCTTAAATAATTACACCCTCCATCCAACAAAACTTGTCGAAACTTTTTCTTGATTGATCACGTTTGACATCATTTTGTTTAAAATACTTTTATAAAGGTATTCTATTTATCAATTTCACATAAATATAATATAAATATAATGATCATAAAGATAATGGCCAGAGAAAGTTTATTTAACCAAGTACGAGCACTACAAAAGAACACAAATTGACTGAGATTTTTGGTAAAAATTCTTCAAAATTCATA